AAGAGTCATGCTGGTTCGAATGAAATTTCCATCTAGTCCAGCATTCCATTTGTGCATTGATCAAGCAGCTGCCCTCAAGCACAGGAACTGAGTTCAACAGTACTGATGCACACTAATGCATTTGATAGTAGGAGTAGCATATAGCCATCAGACACAGTATATATTGACAGCCTCCATGAATTTGTCCAATTGTGTTTTGAAGGCATCCAAACTGGTGGTCATCACTACATTTCATGAAATATATGTTTAAATATATGTTTAAATATATGTGTACAGTACTCCTTCCTTTGACTCATTCTGAATCTCCCAAGAATCCTTCCCATGGGAACATCCCAATTTTTATTATTCCTGGGGAAAGAGAAAACGTCTGTCCCTTCACATTCTCCACACCATGCATAATTCTATATGCTTCTATCATGGGTCCTGTTACTTGTTCCCCACCCCCAAGCTAAACAATCTCAGCTATTGAAATCTTTCTTGGTAGAGTTGCTCCTTGATCATTTTATTGCTCTTTTTTGCATTTTTCTCCAGTTCTACACTATTCTTACAGCAACCAGAACTGTATACAATATTCTAAGTGAGGTTGAACCATAAATTTGTGTAAGGGCAGTATGATACTGAAAGTTCCATTCCTTCTTAAACTGTCTAACACAGACCTTGCTTTGGGTTAACACTGCCATCAAGCCATCTGCCACAATCCCAAGATTCCTTTCTTCAAGCTAGCAGTCACGTCTAGCTCAGATCTCACCAGTCCTCATAACAACAACTGCTTGCAAACCAGGTACATAAACAGGATCACATTCACTGTAAGTTTTCTTGTTTCAGAGCATGCCATGCATACAGTTTCATAAATTCAGCAGTTTTGGACAGGAAGCTTGGAATGGAATCATAATTGACTTGACTGCTGTCTACTTCTGCTGCCAGCTCATGAATCCCTGGCAAAAAGGTGAAGCTGAATGTAGAAGGATATGGTAAGATACTATCGAGTTGAGAAATAGCATAGTCCTCTTCTATCATTTAATTACGCATTGGATTCATTCTCTGTAGCTGAAAATATTTGATTAAGCTTTTCAATTCTATCTATGCAAACTGAAAATAGTTATTTCTCTGTCACTTATGATAAAAGGCAGGAAAGAAGTGATGTTACTGCTAGGAAACCTTTAAAATATTTTTGATTATGTCATATCACTGCAATCAAGTGGAGTTTTACAAGACAATTTTAGTTAGGAAAAAAAAAAAACAAATGATCACCTATTTCTTGATGGAAAGAGACCTCTATTAAATACAGACATATATGGGTTTCCAAAGAAAAAGAAATTTTTCTCCCTTTTGTCCTTGGCCTGAAGCAAGTGAAGGTGGGCAGGAACAGCACAGTTCCCATCACAGGGGGAGAAGAGACATAGAGCAGAGGGAAGGAGCAGAGTGAAGGAGGCTAGAGTGGTATCAGGATAGTTCATATCCTGGCCTCTCTGGTCTCTCCCTCTTTCTGTCCAACAAAAAGATCACCCCTGCCTCCTCATGATGTTGCTTTCCTAGTCTCAGTAAGCAGCTGGTGTAGTCATTTCTATGTCAGTTGTAAGGGGGAAGGGGACTTAACTTCCAATTCCCAGCTGGAAGACAGAGAGCTTGGTCTCTGACCTCTGACCAAAGATTCTGAACTATCCTACAGTCTCTCAGATGCTGTTTAGGGTTCATGGAGTTACTATTGTACTGTTGTAAATTATTTATTTATTATAAATAATTATGTGCCACCCTTCATTCATAAATCACAAGGTAACAGAGTAAATACATTCAAACAATAAAAATAAAATGCCAAGATCAAAGTGACGACAAAGAAAATCTACAAAGCTGACTATTAACATCAGCAAGTGCCTAGGTACACAGACAGATTTCAACAGGCACCATAGGACCACAGGAACATGAGACGGCTGTATATGCTGAGTCAGACCATGGGTCCATCCAGTCCAATATTATCCATTTGGATTGTCAGCAGTTCCTGGGTGTCTTTCCTAACCCTGCCTGGTGATGCTGGACCTAGAAATTTTCACAGTCAAAGCACATACTCTGCCACTTCCCCACCCTTCCAACAGGACATAATTTCAAAGACAGGATGCAACAACAGGAAAAACCATCCCCTGGTTTCTGTCAGATATGTCTGTGCAGGAGATTTTACTGAATAGGAACAAAACATTATACTGTATTTTATACTTCTAAAGAATTTCTTATACTTTTAAATGTTTTTGTGGTCTTTTCATTTTTAACTGTTTGTTATCCACTCGGGGAATGTTAGTAATACGGAAGATTAAAAATAAGCATTGGAGAAGGTGCTTCCCTCCTTTGGTATTTTGGGCATCAGGATCGAGTTTGAGGAAAGGATCCCTCTTGAGTCTTTTATTGATTAAACAAACTCCTGGCACTGCAGAATGGTCATTCAAATGGACATCTCTTAACCCCATGGCTAGATGCTCTGGAAGAAGGTAGTATACTGCTCCTGGTTTTAGGACAAGTTAAGTCTTATTCTTAAGTAAACCACTAGGAGAAAGATATAAGGTCTCCTGCCTCAGTTAGTTCCTGCATAGCTGATCAGTGGCACTGCAGATCTCCTTTGTTAATATTAATGCAGCTGGAGCTAAAATGATTTGCATGCTTAATCTTATTCCAGGCATAGAAGCAAAAAACACCCAGGGTCCCATGGCTTCTGAGAATTTACCATTTGCCACATACTTTTAAAAATTGATCTTACTCCCAGGAACTAGCTGGTTCAGCTGCTTCTGGAAGATAGATACAATGCAGGTTCTTTGGGCATTGATATCCACACCTGTTTTTGCAGTGTCATGATGCAATTTCCAAACTATGGAATGCAAACAGCCCTTGTTCCACTGACAATGCATAGCATTATAATGTATCTTACATTCAAGAACTGCTTAGAGGAGCTAGAAGACCTCATGCTTAGTTCCTGCCAATTCAAGGTAATCTTGATAAAGGTTCCTATTTGAAATCTTGAGGCAGGTGGGCAGCTGCCAGCCAGAATAGACTAGGACTGCAGCATAAACCTAGGGGCTAAATTCCATTCTGGAAAAGTCTTTATTTCTAATGGTGGGTAGGGCTGAAGACAAGCAAATCAGGCTGAATAATACCAACATATTTTAGCTTAAAGCTTTTTCTTCTAGTATCTAACCTATAGGAGAAAAATTTCAAATTCCTTAGAATGGGGAAGGGGAAACTTCCCAAGGCCAAGAAGCCAAAAGCTGGACAAAAGAATCAGTGGTTACACCCCACCCCTGGATACTGCTTTCTGTGTTTCTATGTTAAAAATTTGCATGATCTATTGCTAATGTGTCTCTCATTGATCCATGCATTTTTCCCTATGCTAGATTGAACAGTAGGAGTTGGAGCCATGATTGTAGTCACGTTGGGTAGCTGTGCATGGCAGACTAAATTAAACAGTCTGTGGTCTGGCAAGTTTAAAGATGCCTTTTTTCAGTCTTTCTGCAACTGGAAGGGCCCTTTGCAAGCATGCAGTTTTGTATAATAAACTGCAGCTCTAGTACCTGTAAATAATAAGAATGTGTTTGATCTGACTGAGTGCTGAACTTTTTGCCTTTCCACTGCAGTGTGTGAGACATTTTAATATGCTGAAGATGGAATTGAGATCCCCTTGGCACGGGAATTTGCAGATGCTTTTTAAACACAATTTAACTGTGTGTTATACTAGGACAACAGGCTAGAGCTTGCCAAGATGACAGGCTATCTTGAGTTGTGATATCTTAATCCTCAGATTTACCACAGAAGTGTAGAGAAATTAGTTCAGGCAGATTTGGGTGCTGGAAACTCTTGAGTCTTTTGTACTCTTTAACTTTAATGCAGACATTACATTTATTCTTTTAGTGCTTGCAAGCTCTTTTAAAAAAAGAACTCAAATAATTCCTATTGCAGTTCCAAATGTGATTTGCTTAATCTAATAGCAGCCTTTCATTGGTTATTTTAAATCCCTTTCCTACCCCAGCTGACCTGGTTATAATATGTAACTTTAATAACTCACATTTTGTGAGTAACCGAAATGGAATTATAATAATGCCAGAGTCTATTAAAGTAAAAGGCTATGCAATTATTACTTAAAGGTCATGGAAGTTCTCTGCAGTGACATCTACATTATTCTGATGTGTTCCCAACCTCTGGGTGCAGACACCGGTATATTATGCACAGAAATTCATCATAAACAATTGGGGAAAGAAACACTGGAAAATAACTCAAGTTTAAGACTGTGTCATGTAACATTTTTCATATTGCTTGAACAAAGTAATACCCATAAGGTATGATTATCTTGCCTTCACTTTTGTCAGGAAAAAAATGGTGGGTTCGATGGGTAATTGTGTGAAAAGAGCTTGCCAGTTATTCATTATTTCCTTTCTTCCTTAATACCAAAATTCTGTACCCAAAGTCAACTCCACTGAGTTATATGAGATTTTAATCAACATTAGTTAAGTTTCTGTTATATAACTCGGTAGAATGTCTTTGGACAGAGGCCTTACAGAATTAGAAATCCCACAGGTTTGTCAGAGGAATGTTGGAACTGGTTTCAGCATAGGGAAGATACTAAAGGACATTTCTGAGCATGAAATTTCCTGCATTATGAGTTCAGGGCCAAATGAGATGTGATAGCAATTGCATGGATGCTATTAACATGCATATTTTTGTTACAAAAATAGCAGCACTGGGAACTGTGACCAGCATGTGGACCATAGGGGATGTGGAAGGGAGGTTTCTTTGTGCCCTTGCCAAAGTTCTGGCAAAAATCACACTTTTGAAGCTGTCTTTGGCCTGTAAATGGAAGTGCCCATTGGACCAAAACAGGACTCCCTTAAAATGCAAATCACATTTTTTGTCAGGATGGTGACAGGGAGAAAAAGATCCCAATAGGGCCATTCATCACACTGACACAATTAACTTCACATCAGCTTTGGTACTCAATAATATTTACCCTCATTTTGTGAAATTATACTCATTTCACATGCTAGCAAAATTATGTTCAGCATCCTAAAAGTCAGGCTTCAGCAGTATGAGGACCAAGATTTACCAGAAGTACAAACAGGGTTTCGAAGAGGTAAAGGAACTAGAGGTCAAATTGCCAACATATGCTGGATCATGGAGAAAGATAGGGAGTTCCAGAAAAACATCTACTTCTGCTTCATTGACTATGCTAAAGCCTTTGATTGTGTGGATCACAACAAATTGTGGCAAGTTCTTAAAAAGATGGGAGTAGCAGACCATCTTATTCGTCTCTTGAGAAACCTGTATGCAGGTCAAGAAGCAGCAGCGAGATCTGGACATGGAACAACTGATTGGTTCAAAATTGAGAAAGGAGTTCGGCAAGGAGTTCGGCAAGGCTGTATATTGTTGCTGTATATTGTTGCCTTCATCTAGCCCGGACATGTGAAAGTCCGGGCTAGATGAATCACAAGTTGGAATTAAGATTGCCAGGAGTAATATCAGCAACCTCCGATATGCATACGATACCACCCTAATGGCAGAAAGTGAAGAGACACTAAAGAGTGTCTTGATGAGGGTGAAAGAGGAGAGTACAAAGTTGGCTTTATACTCAACATTCAGAAAATTGGTCCTATCACTTCTTGGCAAATAGATGGGGAAGAAATGGAGGTAGTGACAGGTTTTATTGTCTTGGACTCCAATGGTGACTGCAGTCAAGAAATTAAAAGAGGATTGCTCCTTGGAAGGAAAGCTATGGCAAATCTAGACAACATACTAAAAAAGCAGAGATATCACCCAGCAAACAAAAGTTCATATAGTCAAAGCTATGGTTTTCCCAGTTATAATGTATGGCTGTGAGAGCTGGACCATAAGGAAGACTGAGCGCTGAAGAGTTGATGCTTTTGAATTGTAGTGTTGGAGAAGACTCCGGAGAGTCCCTTGGACTGCAAAGGAATCAAATCAGTCAATCCTAAAGGAAATCAACCCTGACTGTTCTTTAGATGAACAGATACAGAAGCTGAAGCTCAAATACTTTGGCCATCTAATGAGAAGAAAGGACTCACTGGAGAAGACCCTGATGCTGGGAGCAATTGAAGGCAAAAGGAAAAGGGGACAGCAGAGGTTGAGGTGGCTGGATAGGGTCACTTGGGTGGTTGGTGTAGGGTTGGGTGGGCAGATTGTGGAGGACAGGAGAGCCTGGAGGAATGTTGTCCATGAGTCATGAAGAGTTGAGCACGACTTTGCAGCTAAGCAACAAATATTTGGCCTGAAGTGCAAAACTACATGTACAATTCTATGGTTACCACAGTTGGGACACTGTGCATGCTTATGGTCATCACACTTAGGAACTGAACTTACACAGTTGGAAAAGTGCAGAAAAGGAGAACTAGAATTAACAAATGGCTAGAACAACTCTCCTATGAAGAAAGATTACAAGTTCCAGGATGACTTGGCTATTTACTAAGTAAGATAAAGTTGTTCAGACCTGCTACAAGTTGGACTCCACAATTAAGTTAGTTCTGAGTTTGCTTTTGATGGATGAGTTTCATGAATTAGTGGACACACCCCACCCTGATCTTCATGTAGACAAACAGCTTTGGTAATCTAGATAAAGCAGCAGGGAAAGGGGGAAGGAGACTTAGATGTGGGTGCTGGGAATAAAAGGGCAATTTATTCTTGGTGCATGCTCCAAGGTCAGGCAGATTTGAAGTTAGATGAGGAGGGGCCCAGGGTTGAAATGGAAGAAATGGAGGGGCTTATCTCAAGGGCACCTTCCTCAGCTGCTCAGGCAGACAATGAAAATAGTCAAGATTTACAACTCCAGGGAGGGGACATGGGAGAAGAACTCATATAGCCAGCTGACTGGCTGGTATGACTCTTGACTTCATGACATAATTTTGTAGGAGATGGGACAACCAATTAGAGAGCTGACAGACAGAGACGAGGGGCTGCCTATCTCCAAAAGGGTACTTTAAAAGGAGGGTTCAATGAACAGCTAGATCAGGTTCAACAATCTACGCTGTGCATGCTCAGATATTCATTCTTTTTTGGTTGTGCTTACTGGAAGGGCATTGCAGAATAAAGAGCTTTTGCCAAAGATCAGTCTGCTGTTTCAGAAGTGCAAAAGAACACTAGGTGTAAGTTCTAGCTTCCTCCTCTTCCCCCAGCATATTCAATTTTCTCCCTTTGAAACATGCTTCCAAAATTCTGGAGAGGCAGCCAGCATGGTCCGCCCACCCCCAGCATCACGCTGCTCCCGGGCAAGCGAATGCAGGCAGACGCACGCGGCTGCGACCTCGATGGCAGCCAGCTCCACCGGCCAGCGCGGCCGCACGCGGCGCCGGAGAGCGCCGCCCGCCAGCCCAGGTGATCGGGCGCGCGCGGTGCACGACGGGGCGGGTCTCGGAGGCGCCCTGTGGAGTCAAAGCCGCGGCAACGGCCGGGGCCGGCGGCCTCGGGCCGGCGGCCGAAGGGCGGCGACCAAAGGGGTCGCCGCCGTTTGGGGTGCCGTTCGGGGGGACGAGAGGGGGGCTGGGCTGGCCATGGACTCTTGTTGAAATAGGCTTGCCTACTGCTGATTCTCAGGGAAGAGGAAGGATCCCCTTTTTTCTTTTTCTTTTTATCGTTCTTTTTCTCCTCCTCCGACCTACTTTATAATCTTACCCTGCTTTAATTAGTGCTTTGAGTCATTCCTGGCCATGTCGACGTTTATATATCCTGGGGAACCCACGGGGGCTGCTATTGGCGTGGTCACGGGCAATGGTCGTTACAACAATAGGGGCTTAACGTGTCCACGTAGAAGAAGGATGGACAGATGGCTGACACCTGTCCCTCCTTCTGATCCTGCCCCCAACCAGAGGGCGCCAGGTAGCCTTGTCAACCACCCCTCGGGTCTGACAGTGCTGCTGCTCAATGCCAGGTCGATCAATAATAAATCTTCCCTCATCCATGACTTGATTGTGGATGAGGGGGCTGACCTGGCTTGCATAACGGAGACCTGGGCGGGAGAGGGAGGGGATGTTGCCCTCTCCCAGTTGTGCCCGCCCGGGTATCTGGTTCAACACTGTTCACGCCCAGAAGGGAGGGGAGGGGGAGTCGCGTTGGTTTACAGAGCCTCCATCTCTCTCACGGGTCTTCCGGTCCCTTTGAGACCAGGGCTGGAGTGCCTCTACTTGGTGTTGGGCGAACGAGACAGATTGGGGATTCTATTGGTGTACCGTGCACCTTTCTGCCCAGCAGTCTCCCTATCTGAGCTGACAGAGACCGTCTCGGATCTGGTGTTGAAGACCCCCAGGATGTTGGTCCTGGGGGACTTCAATCTCCATGCCGAGTCTGGACTGATCGGGGCAGCTCAGGAATTCATGGCCTCTATGACGGCCATGGGCCTGTCTCAACACGTCACTGGCCCTACCCATGAACGTGGACACACTCTGGACCTGGTATTCACGACGGGGCAGGTAGAGGATGACCTGAGGGTGAAGAACTTATGTTTGACTCCCCTGTCATGGTCAGATCACCTCCTGGTGAGGTTTGTGCTCAAGAGCGGCCTCTCCCTCTATAAGAGTGCGGACCCGATTGTATGGGCCCGCCCCCGGAGCCGGATGGATCCGGATGGATTCCTGGGGGCCCTGGGGGAATTTCCGGCTGACAAGACTGGTGCTCCTGTAGAGGCTCTGGTCGAACTGTGGAACGGAGAGATGACCAGGGCTGTGGACACGATCGCTCCTAAGCGTCCTCTCCCACCGGGCAGAGTCCGCTCTTCCCCTTGGTATACACCTGAATTACGGGCGATGAAGCGAGTTGGGAGACGGCTAGAGCGTAGGTGGAGGAAATCACGGGATGAATCTGACCGAACACACTTGAGAGCCCACTATCGGGCCTATGATGTGGCGGTGAAGGCGGCAAAAAAGAAGTTTTTTTCTGCTTCCATTGCCTCCTCACAATGCCGTCCAGCAGAGATTTTTCGAGTGGTGCAAGGCCTGGTTCGCCTGGGTCCTAAGGAAGATCTGATGCCACCCTCAAAGGCCCGCTGTGACGACTTTGCCAGGCATTTCAGGGAGAAAATCGCTCAGATTCGTCACGAGCTGGACTCCACTAATGAATCAGAGGTCTCTGAGGAGTCGCCAATGCCACCGTCTGGTCCAAAATTACTGGAGGAATTTCAATTATTGCGGCCCAATGATGTGGACAAGGTGCTTGGAAGAGTACGTCCCACCACGTGCCTATTGGATCCTTGCCCGTCTTGGTTAATAAATAACTCCAAGCACGGGATTGGGACCTGGATTTTGGAAGTGGTTAACGCTTCTCTGAGGGAGGGTCGAGTGCCTGCCCCTTTAAAGGAGGCGGTAATACGACCGGTCCTGAAGAAAGCATCACTGGATCCAGAGATGGCCACTAACTATAGACCTGTGGCCAACATCCCGTTTCTGGGCAAGGTGCTGGAGCGAGTGGTGGCGGGACAACTCCAAGCACTCTTGGAGGAAACTGATTATCTGGATCCTTTTCAGTCCGGCTTCAGACCCGGGTACAGTACTGAATCTGCCTTGGTCGCCCTGTACGACGACCTGTGCAGGGAGAAGGACAGGGGGAGTACATCCCTGTTGGTTCTTCTGGACCTCTCGGCGGCTTTTGATACCATCGACCATGGTATCCTTCTGGATAGACTTGCGGGATTGGGGGTTGGAGGCACTGCTTTGCAGTGGTTCCGCTCCTATCTCGACGGTCAATTCCAGAAGGTAGTGCTGGGGGACCATGTCTCTACGTCATGGCAGCTATGCCATGGGGTACCACAGGGCTCCATTCTATCCCCTCTGCTATTTAACATCTATATGAAACCGCTGGGAGAGGTCATCAGGAGGTGTGGGCTGCGGAATCATCAATACGCTGATGATACCCAGCTTTACCTCTCATTCTCCACTAATCCAGGTGAGGCAGTGGCTGTGCTGAACCGGTGCTTGGCCAAGGTAAGGGAATGGATGAGGGCCAATAAACTGAAACTCAACCCAGACAAGACGGAGGTCCTGTTGGTTGGCGGATCGGGTTTCGGAGAGGGTGGATTTGACCTGGTCCTGAATGGTGCAACACTCCCTCTTAGGGATAAGGTCCGCAGCTTAGGTGTACTCCTCGACCCGGAGCTTTCTTTGGAAGCTCAGGTGACAGCGGTAGCGAGGAACGCCTTCCTTCAGCTTTGGCTGATTAATCAGCTGCGCCCCTACCTGGAATACGACTGCCTGGCGACGGTGACACACGCGCTGGTGACTTCCCGCCTAGACTTCTGTAACGCGCTTTACGTGGGGCTTCCCCTGAAGACGGTCCGAACACTTCAATTGGTGCAAAATAGAGCTGCCAGGTTGCTGACGGGGACGGGGCGTTATGCTCACATGACTCCAGTCCTCCATCAGCTTCACTGGCTTCCCATTGAAGCCCGGGCCCAATTCAAGGTGTTGATTATGACCTACAAAGCCCTAAACGGCTTGGGTCCTGGCTACCTGAACGAGCGCTTACGTCCGTATATGCCCGACCGCCCTTTGAGATCTGCGGGAGAGTCCCTTCTCCGGGAACCCTCCATGAAAGAAATTAGGAGAGTAAGTACCCGGAGGAGGGCTTTCTCTGCGGTGGCGCCCAACCTATGGAATTCACTCCCCAAAGAGGTCCGCCTGGCACCGTCGTTACTGGTTTTTCGGCGCCAGGTAAAGACCTTTTTATCTAAACATCATTTCAATTGTTAAAACATATGATCTGGCCTGGGCAACTTCTTCTTCCTTCTCTTTCTCCTCCTATATTTTTATTTTATACTGATAATTTTAATTTTGTATTTGTAAATCAATGTATTTTTGTATTGTTATATTTAATGGTAATTTATTATGTACTATTGTATTTCAATGTATTTTATCATGTTGTAAGCCGCCCCGAGGTTTCGGCAAGGGGTGGCATAGAAATGTTATAATAATAATAATAATAATAATGGTTCTTTTGACAGAAGCTGCAAGGTGGGTGGGCTTGTGGGCATGATCTCAGGGCTGGAACTCTGCGTACTCTCATGGTCTTCCATTCTACTATTACATCATACCAAAAATCTGTATATAAGGCTTGTGTCAAGATATACCCCAATAATGATTGCTGGTAGAATCTAAATGAATTTTTGCTCTATGAGTAGCAACAAGGCTGAGCTTTGCTGATGTTCCTTCAGATCATCTGTTCACCTGAAGTTCCAAAGAAATTACTGAGTTTAGCATAATATAAGGAACCTTTAATAAAAACAGATCACAGGGTGGTTGGCTATTGCTGCTAATAAGTATTAAACCATAGTGCAACCTGTGCCCTCTCAGTACCATTGATAAATGAACTTGTGAATAGTTTTAATGTGCATTTGATTTAAACATCAAAGCAGTGGGATCCAGGAGTATCTTCTGGAATCCTGGAGGGAAGCTTTACTGCCACAGGAGATGGACTGTAATAATAAATAAGTGTGAAATTTGATCTCTAAGGAACATGAGTTCCTTACTGTATTTATAATCTTGCAAGGGAATGCCTATTACTGAGAAGATGAAAACTGTAATAATCAAACAAACAAATGTGTGTGATGAGTGAATAACAGTATAAGGATAATATGACTGTTTCTGTAATAAGATTTCTCATCACAAAGGAGCAATGAAAAATATTTTTGTGTCTGAGTGTGGTTTTCAGTCAGGAGTTCTGGAAGTATCAGGTCCCCAGAAGTATTTGCAAGTGTTATTATCAACACTTGTCATTGCCGAAGGGGGTCCCTTTAACATATTTCATGGGAGTGAATTCCGTAATGATACATTCTGTGAAGACATACTGAAACCATTGCCTTTCCCATATAGAATGCTTCTTGTTGCTGGAATGCCCGTTCTGGGGATTGTTTGCATGTTTGCTTAAATTCTATGGAGCATTTAGCACATTGTGCCTAGGGTGCTATTTCTTTAGCACTGTTGGCAGGTATTTGTGGATTCATTCATCAGTGTTAGTCTAAAAGACCTATAACCACATCGACTGTGGCCCATTCCATGAGAAACGCAATTTGGACAATCCAGCCCATATAGATGCTGACCTTTAAGCAATACACTAGCCCTGTGGAATTAACCCATGGAAAAGAGCCCCCCACAGTGCTAGAGCATCCTTGCACAAAAAGGATATTCCATGGCCGCAGAGAAGCACTTGATCCCATCACCACTACCTGAAATACAATCAGGATGTTTGAAAACAAATATTGGCAGAATGTATTTGAGCAAGCCAAATGGAAATTCTGTAGCAACCTGGAAGTCACATGACATGTTTAATAGGTAATTATAGTAGTTCAAAGATGGAACACACTTCTGCCAGTCTGGACAGTTTACCTGCAGCAGCAAAAAGCAATAGACAAGACTACCGGCTTGATGAGCATTGGGCAAAATTTGCAAAGATGCAGGAGCAGTATGGAAGGGATATATGGTATACCATGCCATCCATGATATTTAAGGAATGAAGAATACATCTAAGAAATTCTCATGGGCTGGATTTGGAGTTTTTGTTCTTACTTCTGTGGATCCTAAGGGGTGTATAATTTCCCTGTTCTTCATTATCCAGTCCTCTTTCCATGAAACCTCTTGTCTTACACTCAAATTGAACCTTGGGATTGAAGGATAACCTGATGAAGTAATTCTTCTCACTGGGATTTTTTCAGATCAGAAAGTGCTGGGAGGCTTCCAAGCAATGGAAAGACATGTAACAGAAAGAAAAAAACACACACAGCACTATTAGCCACCTTCCAGTGACTAGGTAAGTTCAAAAATGTGGTCGATGATGATTCAAAATAAATTATTATAAAATTCCACAAGAAAATGGCAGAAGAATAGAGGCTTCTTCCACAAGAAAAAGAACTCTAAGAAAATTAGAGAATACATTTTGGCACTGTCCTGCCTCCATCACTGCTCCAGACCTGGGCTAAGGACCACTATCCTGAGACCTGCTAGAGAGATTTCAGAAACATGGTGATATTAGAAATTACCTGCATTAGAGAAATGATATATCCACAATCACCCATGGCCAAATAGCATTTAAAGTGGCACAATGTTGGTCACTGTACAATCTTTACCCTTGAAAGATTTACCATTTTTCCCGCAGCAAAGCCCAAAATACTGGTTCCTGGAATTGTTGCTACCTGGTGAACACATCTGTATAGTGGAAAAGTGAGAGCAGAGTCCTCTTCCCATCACCCAACTTTCTACCAGTTGGATCAAAAATTCTGTTTTTAATCTAATACTATGAAACAACTTAGAATCTAGTTACCTTTGGTATCATTTCATTTCTTATGCCTTGATGGAGTCTTGTGATCCTCAGGGAGAGCACTTCTAATGGTTTTTGTTGTCATCAAATCATCTCCAGCTTATGGTTACCCTACAAATGAGTGCCCTGCAAAATGTCTGGTCCTTGACACCTCAGATCTTGCGAACTCAGGGTTGTGGCTTCTACTGCTACTTCATGCATTCAGTGTTGCAGCATCCACAGTCTGGAGTGCTCTCCTTAATGATATTAGATAGGCATCTTCAGTTTTAATCTCTAAACATCTTATCAGCACACACACACCTCTTTCTGCAGGCTATCCCTGAAGGGTAACTAAGCACAAATAGTTATTGTAGACTGGTGATTCTGCTATCATATTTTCAGTGTTATATTTTGTGTTTTTTCATTTTGTTAATTGCTTTGATATTTACTGGAAAGCAGGATATAAATTTATGTAATAAAATAATGAAAAAAGAATTTAAAGACTTGTAGTTTGATTTCATTTTCCTTGTACAAACCCCACAGTACCAGCCATGGCAGAGAGGTGCTTGCTTTTTCAGCCTCCACCCCACCCTGCAAAAGACAACAACCTGAAAATAAGAGGTTTTTAGATTTAACTGCAGGACCTTGTAGAATATTTGTAAGAAATATTCAAGATAATTAACTGAAATTTTAAAAATACTAAATAAGAGGCTACTTAGGTCTGGTAGTCTTGAAAGTGAAACTACGAAGTTTTACAGTGATCATAGGAAATCTCACATAAACAAATGGATAAAGAACATTGCTGCATTTGCCTGAGCTTGGGCATCGATGAGTTGAGCATTGTCCACATGTGCACATAAACTCATTTTATGTTATAAGCTGAATAAGGACTTTTGGGGAAAATTAGTTCCAAGTTGTAATATAGTCAAGCATTATGACCAGGTATAATCATATTTTGAATTAGTTAATTATGAATTTATGTAATCACTGCTCCAAATGTTTATGGCTTGGACACCTATTCATTGAACATTAGTGGTGAATGCACAGAATCTTATTTAAAGTTATAAACCAGCTTCAGGGGGAAGATGCACTCAGTTTGTAATTTATCCAGCAGTATGACCAGGACTAATTCATATCTTGAACTAGGTAATTATGAATTTCAGCAGCATCAGTATTCCTTGCTTCTATGTTAGCTTCACACCAAGGTTCCATTTTATTTATCTTTGATCAGTGTATCATATGCATTACTCATTTGTGAAATAAAGTGACTCAATTTCTATTCATTTTCAGGTCAGATCCTAATGTAAGTTGGACCCTCAATATCACTGAAAGAGATAATCCACATGCTGGCGGGACATTCTGGAACCATGCTGTGGGAACTTTCTTCTTTTAACTCTTGGCAACAAGCCTAGTACGTACAATAAGTAACTATTAGCCTTTAATCCCATTGGTATAGGCAGGTGAAAGTGCTTCCAAATGACTCATTTCTAGTTTTTGAAGGGACCACATTCTTCCACATCAGCCTTTTATCTTTTCTTTCAGCCAGTACTATGTGATTCACAAACCAAGAGTCTCCGTATTTCACATACCTCCACCATTCAGATCTAGCATATGGTGTCAGCTTGGCCAGTTTCTTCCAATGCTTGTTTTCCATTGATTCTCTTCCTTTTTTCCACTCAGGAAATTGGCAAAATATGGAAAACATCTTGCTAAATAGCAGTGCCAAGAAAATAACTGAAAATATTTTTCCTGAACTATTCTTGCTGCATGGTGATGCCTGAACTCATCACCCTGTGTCAGTGCTGTATGTATTCAGTCAGAAGTCTGTTCTGTCCAATTTTCATATCAATTAATGATTAAACACACACAGTCAAAATTGGTGTCAATTTTTGTACACAAAGGAATTTTCTCTAACACAGCCATTTTGCACTCAGCTCTTCCTAATACGCATAGTTTTGCATTCACAAGGAAATCCCTTCTGTACCTATCATTGGGAAACAAGGGTTTCCAAGAATCTGGGCATTCACAAAGAACTATTTTAATTATGGTCACTGATGTTTTTGAATGAATTGTGATGACCACTTGCTTTCTATTTCCAGCTCTCAGAGTCCCTTGTGGAATTTTCAAAACAGGGTGGGCAAGATTGTTTGCCATTTGGCTGGAGCCTGTGGATGAGAATCTTATCCTTCATTACTACTCCCACTAGCCCAGTGACAGCTGTACATGTTTTAAAACACAGTGCAGTACTGCATATTGACTGTAACAATTCATTGTTATTCTCCACTAGCAGTTAAAAATTCCTTTTTGTGTGTTTTCTTTTTGGGTTGTGAGCTTTTTTTGTTCTAAAGTTCAAATTTTCAAGTGGTAAGTGCATTCTTTCCTAGCAAAACGTGTATTTTTACATATGAAGGGAAGATGGGACTCTTCATTGTAACTCTCTTTGTCATGTTCTTTATTGCCTGTAGGTCACAAAGCAGTTTTTGCCTAGGGCAAGAGGGAAATATCAGAGACCTTAGAGCTGCCACTTTTATCTTGCCAGGCTGTTCTTGTGACAGTAAGCAACTAAAGAACTGTGAAGATATGTTGGAATGTTCCCCTGAGATATCTGAAAATAAGGCAATGTTTTCTCCTTTTGTTGTGTCCTTGGACATTTTGTCATGGGGTTTAAGCAGTCTATCATCCTGGACCCTGAGGGATACACCCAAGAATAAATACACACATGCACATCCAGAAGTTTATGCAGAATATGCATGCACTGAAAATAGAATATACATCTAGAAAAAATAATGTGCTTAGAGGAAAAGGTGAAAGAATTAAAACATATATAGATCAGCTCATCAGGTTGGAACCAATTTAGGCACATGCTCCTAATGCAATTGATTCTCACCCACATGGATGAGTCACTTAAATATTTCTCAAGACATGTAAATCATCCAAAGAATAGTCACTCCTACATGACGAGGATAATGGTAAAGGGAACCCATGATGGTAATAGCATTCAACAAGCCGGGCAATGACAAAGCTGGTCACCAGTTTCTATTTACTGGCTGTCAGTTCCGCCAGTAATTAGTTCTCTACATTTTAGCTGCCTTGTTACTATGTGAATTGACTTTGTCCACTGTGGCTGAATTCATAATTTACTAACATTTTGGTCCCACATCCAAGGTTCTTTGTGCAAAGGTCAGAATGTTTGTTGCCACATTTAGCATTTCCCTTTCAAAATGGATTATCAGTGCTGCCTCCTCTACCATAGCAAACCATCAGAAAGAGAAAATATAAGTAGTGATAGGCAAGGTTATTAAGGTCGATTTCATTATTTCTTTGACTGTTAGGAAACATAGCCATGGACCTTAAGCAAGAGTTGTGTTTCACCACAGTATGTAGCCCCTTTTCCAGTGGTTGTCTTCATGGGGTCTCTCACATAAATCCTCCACCCATCAACACTAAATAAAGAACATGCTTACTTGCAAGTACTGCACAAACCAAATCTGATGACCAAAATCTGTTGGGAATATGCCAGGATGTTATGAACTGTCCAGAAACCTTTGGCTATTGAGTGAAGAATAAAACGTGATACAGTGAAGTAGAAAAAACGACTGTTTCTGCAACATGATTTACTGAGAGATAAGTTACATAATCACAGTTCATTCTAAGCAAGAAAAAAGTCTATTCAATCAACTCAGTGTATACATGGACATAACATTGTTTAGATGCAACAGTACTGAAAATCACATGATGTTGGTGCCTGCTTGACTTCCAGAGGATGAAGGTTCTTCTTTGGGTAGAGTCCAGTTTAGCGATGGGTCCTTGCAGAACCAGCAGAACCATGCCATCTGATCACCTCAGCAACCAGGGGGAAAATGCTCTCTGAACTATCCTAGACCCATGTTGGTTCAAGATTTGTACACTAGTACCAAACCTTGAACCTGGCCTGATAGTGAATAGGCATCAAGTGCCTTCCCTCAGCAAAGGATTTGCATGCTGAAAGGAAAGCTTTTGACAGCAGCCATCTGTTGCATTCTGCACTAGCTCCAGCTTCTAGACAAGCCTTAAGAACAGTCCCAGAAAGAGTATATTGCTGTAATCCAGTCTTGAGGTTGTGAGCACCTGTACCACTATGTGTGCAAGTTATTTTGCACATACTAAGTTACATCCAGAGGACTGATCAACTGATAGAAACCTATGTCTGTAGAAATATCATCCTGTGGCTTTAGGTTACCATACAATTATAATTTATTTGGCATCTTCACAAATATTCCTGTGGAAGACAGCTGTTGCTGCTGATAATGATGGTGATTTCCACATAAGAATCCAAGTGTGTTATTTAAGTACCTTGTATTCCTCAGACAAAAACTTTGGACAATCCATTGCTTTTTTGGATTTCTTTTCCACATAATTATAATTCATTTAATTAAATGTATTTAAAATCTCAAAAGCTGTTGGCTAGATTAAAGTCATTCTACATGTGATTATGTAAATGGACAACAAATAACAAATGCAAAAACACAGTGTTTGGCAGGAATAGCAAATTCAATAAGGAAGTTAAATAAAAAATATTTATCTCACTCCTGGCAGAGAAAACACTTCAAATTGGCAGCAAATCTATATGGATGGATAATTTAGTACCATGAAAATTAAATGTATGAAAGGGAAGGCACTTTAAGTTTTTATAATAACATTTTTCACCATAATGGTGAAACCTTCAATTTAAAAAAAGGAAACTAATATACTTGACAATGTCCAAAGACAGCATGTTAGTCAGATATGCAATGCTTTAGTTGATCTATACATATATTAAAGGGAATTAAATGTAGTGCATATGTCGTAAGCAAGGAAGATAAAAATATCTATCAAAATGCCATAAAAATTAGTTTGGCCCCAGCGACAATGTTGCTTTTCAGTAATATTTTGGAGGGCGAGGGGGTAATAAAGGAAGAACAGTTGTTCATTCAGAATGTAATCCAACCATAGGTAAGATGTTTTAAGCCCCATTATTAGCTTGGGTAGTGTTAAGCATGTGCTTAACTTTCACACTGAAATTAATAAGATTTTAAATGCATTTAACCTTACTGGATCTTATCCTAGCTGATTTACATATGTCACTATCCTATGCATGGCTTTTATGAAATACATAACCTTTAATTCAGTATGTTTGCTCCCAGGTAAGTGGGTACAGAATTGCAGTCTTAAATGGAAGAAGATGCTATTATTCACCTCCCTTACAAATACATTGCAATTTACTGGAAAGCCTCATTGAAATTAATGGGATCATAAGACAAGACATAAAGCCAGCCCTGAAGTACTGGACTAAACAGAGCATGTGCAGAATGGCTCCCCAGGGCAGTGAGCCCAATGCTGCAATCTGGGACATGTTTTATGCTTGTGCCATTCAGTGCTCCAGTCCAAAGACTACAATGCACATATAGGAATAAGGTCCTGCTTGTCTTTACCAGCTGTGCAAAAGAAAGTTTGGAGGTTATCTAGACATTTACTAAATGGCAGTGTGCACCTGGTCCAGGTGTCCAAGAATAGTTTTGAGATCTATTCAAATAGCAAATGAGCACCAACAGAGAAGATTCTTTGGTGAATACTCTCCTAAAGTGTCTTTGAGACGCTTCTTTCTAAAATACCTGATATAGCATTATAGCTTTATATAGCATCAGCTCCAAGAAATCTCTTTTTAAAAAGCAACATTTCTCATAAAATGTATATTTAATATTATTTTAATTAATATGCACTTATTTGTGCTCTTTTTGATAGGAAAACAGCATTGCAAAATTCAGATTATTGTGAATTTCAATGTAGCACTGAGATTCAGTTGACATATTGGGTCAAAGGTTTAAAGTTAGGTAAGTTCACCTTAGAACATGCATCAAGTACATTTCTCTCCATCCCAAAATTTCCTAGTCATAAGTCACTATGAAAAGCTCTCGTCTCTACTATAGTGTCAAACTTTAAATCCTGTCATAGCATTTTGGAGGAAGCAGTTGCACCTGCCTGCTCTGTGTAAAAGGAGTCTTTATACAAAAGGTTTTATCTTTGCAAAAGTTCAGCAGCATCCATGCATTTCCCCAAATCTTTGCATCGAGGTTAATGTTACTACTCTGAAATAAGTAGTCTCTGGTTAGTGAAATATCTTTTGTATTTAGTATAAAAGCCATCCGATGGAGAGGAAGCAGCTGGACCCCTTTCCATCATGCCCAAATCTAACCCTAGCAAAGACAACACATTTCATTGCATTTTAATTGTTAGTAAATTGGATTTTGATTACTTTGAGCTACTTTGGAAATTAATTTTTGGCTAAACGTGAAATTTAAAATATAGTAAGTAAAAGGAATGTAGTTCCATATGTCCTGCAGTCTGGATAGAGATGATCTATACTCTTAACAGGAGAATTCCTTTATGAGCTGAGCATCATATGCCACCAAAAGGGAAGTGCCACACCTCTTTTTACTCTGTAGATCGGTGAGACTATTAAATTAACCCAAGATAATGCATTCATTAGCAAAATTGGTAGATTTGCATCCAAGCCATTTAGTGGTGGTCTGGTGACAAGGTGTTCACAAGATGAAAAGAAAACATGACAAACAAGCATTTAGGTTTGACCTGCTATTTCATGCAAATCTGTTTTTTATACTGGCATTTATACTTTCACTCTGCCACACACATTATGAAATGAATTACTTTCCGACCTCTTCTTGTGCTTAAGAACGCTATGTGCAAACAGAAGTTACACAATTCTACAGGCTGTTTTCAGTGTTGAAAAATCAGTCTGAGAACCTTTTGTGTTAGGTGGAAGAAGATACAAATGCTGCTAAAAATTCCACAATGTTTTATTTGATTATCTTGACCAAAGTGGTTTGTATAGTCTTTATCTTTCTCTTTTTCTATGCCATGACACTTCCACCAAATGAATTTCACTTGTAAGGAATATTTCCAAGGAATCCAGGTATTGTTTGAACAAATCATTTCAAGTTATTCTAAGGCTGTGATTGTAGGCATGCTTAGCTGTATGTTCTGATCCTATGCTTAGTAGTGTTCAGTGACAGGCAGTGAAGCAAAAATGGATACCTGGGTCTTAGGTCACCAAGGAAAAAGTGAGTTGCAGCACTCCTTAGTATCTTCTTTCTTGAAGATTGGAATGCATATGATTGTTTTGGTTCCCATATTTGTTAGCCTATTTTTGTTTGGATTCAGACCAATTCCGTCTCTGCAGCATGGAATATTTCTATTTTTATCCTATCTAAACCTAATACTGTATTCCTTCAAGGTGCTTCAAGAGCAAATTTCACTTCAGTTTCTAATAGGTTCTTCCTCATAGGGTTCTTCTTTGAAGGTGTCATCTTTTGATTTCTTCTGTACAGTTCTTTCATGAATTGTTTCCATTGTCTCACTCTTCCCCCAACCCCGCCCCAGTCCTGTCTGTTGGTCTTTCAGCATTCCTAATCCAGATTTGAATTTCCTGGATTTTATGGAAGAGGTCTCTTGTATTTCCTCATTTGCTGCTTTCTTTGCATTGACCATTGTAATAGTTCTTTTTGCTTCTACATTATATTTGTTGAAAAGTTACATTCAAGATACTGATTCTGCCATATTTTCCTTTCATTTCTTGCCTGCCCTTAGCAACTGTGAGTGTTTTTTCAGTCACCTATTTAGGCTTTTATTTATTTATTGCTACTGGAATTGTCTTTTTGTATTCTTCCTTGAGAATATCTCTGGATTCATCCCACAGTTCTTCCGGTTCACGACCAGTTGAAGTCAGTAATGCAAATCTATTTTTTATGTGGATGTTAAATTCTTTGGGAATATTATGTTTGGGCATTACTTCTCTGTTACTGAATTTTTTCAGCTTTACTCTGATTTTTAATATTAAAAATGATCACAGTCTGCTCCTGGTCTTGATTTGGCATTATATCTCATTTTATGTTTGATTGTTTCATCATGAGTTTACAAGGAAAGAAATATTCAGAGCTAATTTACCATTACGTTCTTCTATGAGTGCTAACCAGAGTTAGCTTGAGCATTACTGCCACTGCCTACAAAAAATGCTCTGCCAGTATTAACTTCAGCTACTGCTACTGCTGCCCAGCAGCTGCCCTACAGGAGCTTTTCCAGTTCCACCACTATTCAAGAGATCCATTCTCTTCTGTTGATTCTGTTGTGATGTAGAGGGTGGATACATCTTAATCTGGAGTCTCTAGTTTGTTTAACCTTGGTGACCTTCCTAGGGGACCAGTCTAGTGAGAGAGTCTGGCCTCCTGGCAGCATTGTTCTTAGCTGCTCTAGCACTCTCAAACCCCTTGCCATGTGCATCAGGGGTTGGGACATAATACCTTGCAATAACCCAAAGAATAGCTTACCAAATTGTGAATAACTGTAGGTGAGCTATTTGTATTTAGATAGCTTTGTGGCTGGTTTGTCAACATACAGATAAGATTTAGACCTGCAGCAGAATTGTCAAAGATCAGAGCTATAATCCTCCATTATCACCATCTGGAAAGCTATCCAAGTAGAAGCAGAACCACTGCAGCACATTATCTAAAACTCATGGACAAGATAACTTATCCAGAAGGATACAATGGTAACAAATGCCACTAAGAAATCCAAGACAATCGACAGAGTTGCCTTTTCTCTCCGGGTACAGATCATTTCACATGATGAGCAATACAACTTCTATTCCTAAACCAGCCTGATTGGGATGGGTAGTCAGTTTCATTCAAGGATCAGTGGAGTTTGCTCAGCACCTTGCCTGGAACAGAATGTTATCTACTGGCCCATAGCTGTTAACATCTTTTACAAGATGTGCCTACTAAGTGACTCTCAAGGAGGAGTTGGGAATCTGGACCCACTCAGGCATCCTCTCCCTGTTAGATACAATATGCCATGAAAGGCAAAGATCAAGCAAACTGGGGGGCAGCTGGACTTGGTCAAGCAACTTGTTCATTTATTCAGGCTTTGACAAGCAAACCTCATCCAACAAAACCAACCCACTTGATGTTCTAAACACATCTACAGATAGAACTGCATTAACAATGATATTCATATTGAAATGAACATGAACAATGTTATTTTCAAAATGTTGTGCAAAATTGCCTTTGTTCCGACAATCTAGTTCGTGGCCCAGATTTCAGAAGGCCATGAACCATTCAGTAAATCATTCAAGAAAAGCTCTGCTAGATTACACAGACAAGCTGTCAAGTGGTGGAAAATAGCTCCCTCCCTGGCACAGTGTAGGCTTCATGATGAGCTACAACCAATGTTCAATCAGATTCAGCACTAATTTTCCTCCACTAGAGTCATAGCTGTCTTCCATTTTGCTTCATTGGTCTCATTTCAGGCCATTTCAGGCCAATTAAGGTTTGAACCAAAGTGCCATCCCGTGCTAGCAGAAAATCCCACAGAGCCCCGTCAGAATCCATTAGCACCTGAGGAGAAACATTTTTAATAGCTTCTCCCTACCCTTTTAGGGAGGACGTTATCTGACCATGAGAAGAAATTTGTTAATTTCTACATTATCAGATCACTATCCTCCTATACATCAAATCAAACCTATTTTCACACAGACAGATCAAACATATTTACTCTGCTAATGTTTTGGAGCAACACCTTTTTGAAATGGCCCCATCATTGCCCAGCATGCTTGAAATCCTGAGTTTATGGCTTCAGCATGCAAGTTGAGATTCCTCAGAACCATTTTCCTAGGTCCTCAACATGGTGTTTGTTCTATCTATCACTTCTATCATTTTAGGCAGGGATATTGGTGAATAGCAGACACAAAGTCAATCAGTTAGCCAGGTGCCAATATCCAAGCACAATATGCAAACACTCAAGATTGGTATTTGAATGGAAAGAAGTTTGAATTTCTGTAGTGAACAGCAGCCTCCCTGACTCCCTGAGTCTTCGTTGGTTCTGCATCAAATAGTGTCTAACTCTTCCCAGTTCCCCTACTCTGGTCTCAGTAATACATACCAGGTCAGCCTTCTTATCCACAATTAACTGATGGATGAGGAAGGTTTTGTTTTTGATCATTCAGGCATTAGTAGTTACACTGGTATTTTAAAGTGCTTATCTAGCTCAAGAAATTCTTTAGAGATTAGATGATACCATTCAAAACTGAGGTCTGCCTTTGGCTTTCTTTGGTTTATTATTTGTGGAAAACCATTGTTATAATGTGTTGATGTATTGTTGTCTACAATATGAAGAGAAAAGTGATTGGAAGGAATGATAAACTTCAGGACAAAATGGTAAACTTCTTGGGTTTTGTGCACTGAAAACATTAAATCCTGAATGTTATTTTAATGATGACCAAATCTTTTGTGGGAGGCATTAAGGGAATTGACTCTAAAATTGTAATATAATGGTATTAATTTGGCATAAATGAACCCCTAGAAGCAAAATGCTACCTACTGTTTAGCAATTATTTTTAAACAATAAACTCATTGGCCTTGTACATGCTTTTCAAAATCTTAATGTTATCCATTAGTACACAGATGCTCCTGCTTTTGATACAGTAGCTCTGGGAGCCTGCATGGATCATTAGCTTGCCAATTATCTTGTCTTTATTAAACATCTATTTCACAAACTTTTTTTTTGAAAAGAAGCTTTCAGACTGACATTTTTTGTGCTCTTCAGTTATATCCAGGGGCTGTAAGCTCTAAACCTACCATAAAGATTGCTAAAATTGGATACAATTGGATGGTCACAGTCACTCATTCTCTCTCTCTCTCTCTCTCTCACACACACACACACAGACACACACCCACAGGGGGTGGGGGAGTCATTTTATTAAGATTAAGCATACAATTCTGGTCAGCATGGAAAAGATGGCAGTAATCTGCTCTGTGTGGCAACAGAAATAAATTGGCTATGTGACCTGTTCTAGATGCTAGGGACACTTCCAGGCAAGATTTCTGATGCACCACCTGCCTCACACAGAATTATTGGACTGGGGGGGATGCTGTATTCTTCATTCACAGCTTTTTAATATGTCTTTCATCATTTTTCTTACTGCAGCAAATGTGTTAAGGAGAACAAAGCTAAAATAGCCAAACAATACCTACCAATTGGTATCTCTAGTCACTAAGAGACATCTGTTTAGAAGCACATAAATCTGTAACGTTTCTATTAACTTCAGTTAGCAGAAGCCAGGACCAACTTCTAGAAACGTATGTGGATGACCTAGTACATCCCTCCAAAACTAGCCTGAATCTTGTTTTCAATAATGTAGAATGTGTCTTCCTTTATTTCTTTGCAAGATTACCAAAACTTTGAGTAATAAGTGTGAGTGTGAGTGTGAGTGTGAGTGTGAGTGTGAGTGTGTGTGAGAGAGAGAGAGAGAGAGAGAGAGAGAGAGAGAGAGAGAGAGAGAGAGATTTTCTCTTGGACTTTTTGACCAGTATATTCAACCAGCATTTGACCAACAAAGTAGGTGCAAATTTGTGACATGCAACAGCAGGGACTTGGACCTGATGGCCTTCTTGGTCCCTGTATGAAGGCACACATTCAACCCTTTTTCACGATTTCTTTTCTCATGAATACAGATAAACAAAATGACCTTCAGTACCTGAAACCACCTGTCATCCCCTTATGACTGTAGGAGGAAACCTTGTTGTTTCCTTCCAGCTTCAGAGATATGGTGCATTAAGATATAGGCAGGGCTTTCTCAGCAGCAACACCAAAGTTATGGAATACGATTCCTTGGAAAACTTGGTTAACTTCCTCTCTTTTAGCCTTTAAGCAGCGATAAGAGGTTTTTATATTACTGTTATTATATTGTATATTTTAATCTATATTGTAATATCCCTTGGGACTCTTGTAGTTAAACAACAGCTAAAAAGAATGCACATTTTTGTAATTATCTCATTTTTATCAACCAAATGTAAAGATTATGTCAAAGAAGTAAAACTTTGTGTACATGTTTGAGTTAATGTATAGTAGCTATTATTGTTCATTCTTCCTTCTGTTGGAAATGGAAACTTTCCTTCCTTCCTTCCTTCTGAAATGGAAACTTTCATCTATAAAGCTCTTCCAATTTCCACAAGGTGCCAGCTCAAAGCAAAGTTTGCCTAAGAATTCAGAGCAGGAGTCTTCAACTAGGTGAGTGCTTCGCTCAAGCTGTTGCAAGCAGGTCAGCTCTTCTGTAAAGGAGTAAGTGATTGACCATATGTGAGTGAACAGAGTATGAAAGTTGTAAGAGTGTAATTAAGGTACATAAGTAAAATGTGGATGCGTGTGAGGATGGAAAATAGTCCACTACAAGTATTAAATATGAATGACAACAGCAGCAGAAATAGCAACAACATCTAGGAATTTTAAACTTTTATTTTTTTATTTGCAAATATCCAATTGTTAATTCATTACTTTAAATTCTTTATACACCAGAACAATTTAAAAAAGCCAAGGTTGCCTTGCTAGGAAAAACGTTCAGTCTTTCATCTTGAAGAAAAGTGTTTACTAGGCTTTGCAAAAACTTGCTTTCTCTTGGCTGCAGTGGGTGATTGAAATATTAATGCATTTTGTATTTGTCTAACTTCTATGGATAATCAAATAGACACTTGCTGCTGAGCTGTGAAATAACTCTTGCTGAATTGTATCTAAGGAGTAGATTCTTATAACTTTCCTTACTGTTCAACAATGTTATTGATTGGTATCTCAGAAGAAGAAGGAGATGAAAAAATCTGGTTTCAGCTCACCTCCTGAAGCTACTAACTGTACACAAGGTTTCCTGGAAATAGGGTGAAAGAAAGGAGAAAGTTGCTAGACTATTTTTCCCACAGTATATTTCCTGCAGCTCTTTGTGCCTGACAACAGCCTCAGGCACACCCTTTTCATATTATAGATTGCCATGAAGACAGGAAAAGGTAAGAATAAAAAGCCTGGCCATGAATACAGCAAAAGGTAAGGGGTTTTTCATGTAATGTACCAGCTAGTGCTTTTGTCAGTGTTACCTTTGAATCAACCATATTTCTTTTACAAATTCTAGAGAAACAGTCTCTGTTGTGAAGGTAAGAGGAAAGCTTTCTTATATATAAAATCACATC